TGTTAATTCATGCCTGTGCTGTTATGTATGGATGATGTAAATGCCATCCCTTCTATTATGTTTGTATTGTTTTTGAAGGATTGATATTAGCCATCCCTACATTTACTTCCTTTTTTTGTAAAATTTTTTATTTACTTGTTTTTTTAATGCAGTGTTTCAATAGACATAGGAAGGTTGTATTTATAACCAAGGTCTAAATAAAATTTGGTTTGAACTTTAATATTTATTGTTTATCTATTATTTGCTGGTAATTCCTGTTTCACCCTGTACTTAAGTTTTTTAAAGGAACACCAATTTTCTGTAAGAAAGCTAGCTTCAAGGGGTCATGATAACATTGTTTACAATAGAATTATGATTTTGTTTTAATTACCACTAGTTAATAAAACTTATAAATGTGGATACTCCATTTAAAACTATGTCATCTCAGTGAAATTGGTTGGCATCATTGTTTTGGTTTTTGAGTTATTATGTAATTAAAAAGAAGCAGAAGAAAAAACAAGAAATTCAAACTTTTTGCTATGAAATTTACAGACATTCCCAGAACTTGTGACTTAGTCATTATATAGTATTGTAAAGTTCTGATGACCTATTGAGGAGATACTTAAAATACCATTTTGATGAACAATCCGAGCCATCCTTACATAGGCAGTGCTACCGCATGCCATGTACATATATATATAGTTACTTAGTGTAGTTTATAATGTTTTCTTCGATTAAAGGTTAAGTAGGCTTTTAATGGATACACAATCCATCTCATTTCTTACAAACTAATCAAAGCTAGTTTTGTTTGCTCCAACTTTGTATGGTCTCTGACATAGAATACCATCAGTAGTTGAATAATCTGTTAATTCAATTTCAGCTTTTTTTTCCATATTGATCTGACTTTTCAGGTTATCTCCAGTTTTAACCATTCTATTTGTGTTTCATATTTACTCTTGTCTGAATATACTTATCAGTAATTTATAATTTGATATTTTTTTATTGTTTATATGGTAATTGAACAACATGGATACATATGGCCAACATTTAATCTTTTCTTAAAATATTATGTTCAACAGGTACTTTAATTTTCTCTGTGGTATCATTCTTAGATTTCCTGGTTCTGTTTGATCCAGTGTAAAATGTTATATCTGTTTTCTAAGTAGGGTGAATACCAGATGGCATATTATTTTCAAGTGTTTCCAATTACACCTGTTTACTGATGTTTCCAAAAGGTACAGGAATAGTTTTAAGATTTTGAAAATTCAGGAAGAATGTTTTGGTCATGGAAAAATGAAAAGGAGAGAAAAAAAAAGAAGAAAAAGAAATTAATAGGGAAAATAAAAAATATGGGAAAAGAAACTGTATATTGACTACTGAGTTTGTTGATTAACTTATGCCACTAAGACACTTTTGTAAATCAGTCAGCCATGATGAAAAACAAGGGAAGAATTTTAGGAGCCTTAATTGAGGGTACAATATATATCTGTGATTTTTTTAAAAACATATTTATTGCTTTTACCAAGGAACCAGTACTTGAGAATAGTCAGGCTTCTTGACAACATTCATACTGCTACTAACTTTTGAGTTTGGTCATAAATGTAGAATTATAGTTACAATGTGTAAAGTTGCAAATAGTTACTTATAGTATCAGCCATATTAACTCTCAACAGAGTTACACTATGCAAGACATTTGATTGTGTGAAATTTTTGCTTACCCAATACTGTAATTTTCTTTAGTAGCTCATAATTATGCATTATATTTTTGTATATTCATGCATAAATGCATCTTTCAGAAAGAAGATTCTGACATTGGACAACATAGCGATTGCTTAGCTTAGTTTTATTCAGCTATTTGTATTTTTTACTTGTGTGTGTTTCTAGAGTAATAGGTTTTGTAGCATTTTAGTGATAAATATTTATGTTTCTTTAATTATACATACATGATGTTATGTAGCTTATTTTATATATACACTTTTAAGATAGAAAATTCAATGCAAACATTTTTTACATATGTTGATATTGAAATAAATATATAATTATTCTTGTACGTTTGTTGTTTGTGTGTAAATTATTTAACATTTAGCAATACTTCACTGGACTTCTGTTGAAGATATCCAAAGTGGAATTGAAACTAGTGTCCAATTAAACTTTTAGTACATACAGAAATCAGTACCACATATCCAACTTGTTGAAATGTATCAAATACATTCATTTTGTGATCAAACAGGTAGTATGAATGGAAATTACTGTAAATGTTTAGTAGTAGTTTCAGTTTTATATGTATGTATTTCATCTTAAAAGATAAATCATGGAAAGATTTTTTAATTGCTTCTTATTTCTATCAGGTTTGTCCAACCCAATGGACATGATATATCATATCCAGCCATGGATGATTTTAGGATTATTACCTTTAGCTGTCGCTTTTGAAGGTGAGCTTTTAAACTTACATTATTTACCATATGCTATACATTATTGAATATCCTATTAATGGAGTATGAACAGGTTTCTTGTATTTACACTGCATATATGATAATCAGTTTCTAAATTTTTAGACTGCACTCCACATTCACAGTTCCATCTGAGTTTCATGTCATTTTTTATGGTAGCAAGACAATCACTTATTCATCATTTACATACTTATAATATCCCGAAGCATGTAGGATCGACGAAAAAAATTTGTATCAGAAAAGAAACTTAATGATGAGCACTTTCAGAAAGTGGACTTTCCTTCATAAAGGTTTCTGATAAAGGAAAGTCCACTTACTAAAAGTGCTCAGGTTATTTGGTTTATTTTCTGAAGCTAAGCATTTACATAATAATTGTTTTTTCAACCTTTTTCTTTTTTGTTCCTAGAAGTATATGTATATAATTTGTTAGTTCTCAATACACTCCTTTTTTTAGTGCTTATCAATTTTGGCTCTTAACCATTCATTCTGAATAGACATTCACTGGGGCTTTTTACTCTTTCCTTTGGAGTCATTTTGATAAAGACAACTCTTCATTGACATGAATCCATAAAGTTTCACATTGTTCATGTTTTGAAAGAATTATCAGTATGAAGTGCTCGTAACGGTATATTCTGTCATTCTTTGAAATATTTTCTTTATTATAATCTTAACATATTACAAGCATTCAATTTTGCTTGTGAATTTTAATACTTAAAAAATTTTTTCAGTCAAACATTCAGAGGGCCTGATTTTGCACATGTATCTGTTTATATATTAACTAAAATTGTAAAAAAATTTAATAATAAGTATCACAAGTATTATTATTATTACTTAATTTTAGGTCTTCCTATTGCCACATCAGAAAAAGTTTTTCGCTTCAGAGACACAGATGTTCTTCTCAGTACGTGTGTTAGGATTCTAATAGGAGCCACAATAGCTTTTCTAATGGAAGTTAGTGAATACTTGCTCCTTACATATACATCAAGTTTGACTTTGTCCATAGCAGGCATTTTGAAGGTAAAATACCTAATATGATTAAAAATAACTTTTTTATCATCTGTGTCAAAGGAAAAGAGGAAATAAAAATATTATTGTTCATAAGGAATGAGAAAACCAGTTTAAGACACTGTTGTTTGAGGTTGAAGTAAAGAGTCGCCAAATATTGAATCCTTTTCTTCCAAACATTAGTGCTAAAATTCATGAAATATGTTTCTCTTTTTATTCTGTATATGAAATCTGGATTATGTTTAGTTTTTGCAGGAATAAGTAATTGCTTTTCTACCCAAAATGGAATAACCATATATGATTTTGAGTTTTGTTCTCAGGGTCACAAATGTGTGGAAACATTACAACAAGAGTGCTAATAAGTTTGAACAATGAAGTCATGCCAGCAGTAACTGACAGCTGACAAAGTGAATGAAATGCTATTTGTATCAGTCTAGGAATGTGTTATTGTGTTTAAAAATATCACACTCGTTAGGTACACACATTCAATTAGTTATTTCTCAGCTGAATAAGAATTAATGTGCTGTAACCAAGCCATTCTAATGAGCTGTGATATTGAATGAAAATTAGCATTGAAAATTAGACAAGATTTATTTGAAATTCTGTTCTATGTTCTCCTTACTGGAAAACCACATTAGTGGCAAGTAAGAGTTGTATGTCTAACAGTTATTATCAATATTATTTTGAGGGTTTTGTCTTATTTTACCAGCTACGCCAACGAATTATGTTTTTTGCACTATTACTAGTTAATTAAATAATATTGTTTATATATGCTAGTGAAATTGAGCACATATAAAAACAAAATATTTTAAAAGGGATACATGTATTTTATACTTAACGTGGTGAAATGTTCTGTTTGTTTTGGAAAAGTTTAATTTAAATTTATTTAAAATTAGGAATATTAAGAGTATCAACATATGTAATATCTATAAAACATATTTTCACTACTTTACCTAACCAAAGTTGTGAATATTTCTGTTTACATTAAGATCTGAGTAAACTCTGAATTTAACATGAAATGAAACATAGTGCAAATAAATGCACTACAAGAAAGGACATTAATTAATTTTTATATGATAAGATGAAAAAGTTTTACTTGTTTCATCAGTGCTTCAGATGAGCTTTTGGTGTAATGAGTATTTTACTCCTTGAAATAAACTGCAAAGCTGAAAATGAAAACTCAGTTCTGAAAACTTGCATGTTTTCAAGTTTCAGTGCCTTTTTTTCATTGTACAGCAACAACATTTTGGAGCTGTTTTGTTGTGGTACTAGGCTCTTACACTTCTTAATTCTGTATGAATGTGGCATTAAGGACCACCCGAACCAATTACAGCATAAATACAATAAGGTAAACACTTTGTTGAGTTAAGTTAAATAAAATGAGAATGATATAATGTTCAGTTCAAGAGTAACCCTGAATTACAAGTAACTGCCAGCCAGTAATCTTTGAATAACTCATCAACCAGTTTATAGTTTATGCTTTGTGTTTCTTACTGATGCAGGTTTTTTTCTTTCAAACTGGCAACTATACACATATACATGAATGATATACATACAGGCAAATGCTTTGCATATTTTATATGCATAGTTTTTATTTCTAATGCATTTTTATAGGGAAAATGTACATCTACACAAATACATGCACTTTATTTGGAGTAATGTTTCATTACAAAAAGTTACAAGTTTTCCTCCTTATTTCTTTGTTGATAGTAATGTAATATGGAAACTATTTATTGCATAAAATTTCCACACTCTTCTAATAATGGCAAAGTCAAACTTTGAACAATCTTAGTATTATTTTTAATGTGTGTTTTTATTTCCCATATTATCATTATAACAACTGCAATGGTATGGAATGAAAAACAGAATAATTGTAAATCAAACAGCTTAACATTTTGAACAACCACCTTTATATTTTTCTTTAATATTAATCTTTCTAGTAAATTGTTATTTTGTGTTTTACAGGAAGTTTGCACACTTTACCTAGCCGTTAGCTACAATGGTGACAAGATGACTACCTTGAACATCCTTGGGTTGGGTGTTTGTCTTTTGGGGATAAGCATGCATGTGATAATTAAAGCTCTTCATTCTAGAGGTATTTCAGACTTTGCATCATACTGTGGTTTTTATTAAGGTTACAGGTTGCTGCTAAAGCTGCAAATGTGTTATTTGTGCATTATTTTTTTTCTGTCAGAGGGACAATAAAATATCATTGTGCTTGTTGTTAAAACTGTTTTTACCTCATCAAAATAGTATTTGGATGAAATATAAATAAAACTGAAGTAAAGTACAGGATGTTATTGTATCATTAGCAGTGATGTACAGTAGGCTTAAATAATTGAACAACAGAGAATTGCTGATATATAGTAATAGATTTACAAGAGAACATTTTGTCCTTTTATATATAAATGAAAGTTTCCACAACATATATACTTGTTTAATGGTTTACTTGTTATTCAGACTCTTGTTACTACAATTTTTTCAATACCTTCTTTCACTTTGGACTACTGATTTGTGCTGAAATTATAAGGATTGTAGTCAAACTAGAAGGTATTTATAATCTTTACGTATATAGTAGATTCAAGAATAAACTTTGTTTATTTGTAAAATTCTTTTCTTCACCAAAATGTGAATTTAAGTGAGAAAAGATGAAGTAGAGTCCTAATCTATTTTTTTTAACTTGCTACTCCCTCTGCAACGGATTAGTTTCACCAAATTCAAGGCTCCTCGGTGCTGCTTGGTAAAGTGAAACTAATAGATTCAGTAGACCTTATATAGTGATGAAATGTTAATCAGTTTTTTGGGTTTAGATCAGTGGTTTTCAAACGTTTTTCACTGACAACACCTTACCTCACTTTGATTTGTGCAAACACCCCTGCTGCCACATGAAATATTTTTTTATAGTTTTTTGTTCTTAATTATTCTTCATTTGCTGAAACTCTTGTGACTCCCCTAGCAACATGCTGTGACAGTTTGGAAATCACTGGTTTATATGTATTGTCATATACATCTATATAGGACTGTACATCTAAATCAATAAGCTTCTTTGTTTTTATTCTAATAAGTATTCGGATAAAAATGGATAAGTTCAGGGCTCAAGTTAAAATGTTAATCTATGATATAATGGGAATTACTGAAACTCATTTCAAGAATATTAATAATAGGAATTATGTTGAAATTCCAGGTTATTAATTACTTAAAAGAGGGAGTGGGGTGGCTCTTTATATAAAAGATGAATGGCAGTCTGTTCGAACTGAAAGCAAAAAAAAAAACTGAAGTCAAGAATTTGAACCTGTATAGGTTACAAGAAGAGGTGTCAGGGTTAGGAAATTTTTAATTGTAAAATGTTATAGGCCACCTGGTGAGACAGATTGTCTCAATGAGAGATTGTATAATGAGATTGAAGTTGTTATTAATAAGAATAATTGTGTAATAATTATGAGAGACTAATTTTAGACACAGTGATTGGGATTTTATGGTGTTAAAGAATGAGAGAGAGAGAGAGGTTTCTTGAAGTGATTCAGGATAGCTTTCTATACCAAACAGTCAGGATACCAAACAGAAGAGATGTATTGTTAGATTTATTATCACCCATTAATGAGAATGTGGTTGCAAGAACTTAAACAAAGGAACAAGTGTTATCATTACAGAATTATGTTTGTAGAATTTAAGCTCCTAATTTACAGAAAGCCCACTTTAAGGCCATAAGATGAGATTTATCATAAGTGTGAGTTGCAATGATGAGTTAAAAGGTGATTAAATTTAAAAACATAAATTGTTGATTTTAATTCAAGATAGGCATGTTTCTATAAAGAGAAAAAGAAAAAAGAGAAAATCAAACCTATAGGAAAGTCTGGCATTTGGCCAAAATTAAATTAGGAAATCAAAAAGGGTTTATGAGAAACAACCGGACCAGAATGTTAAAACTAACAGCAAGGAATTTATTTACATATTTTAAACTGTGGTTGACACAACAGCAACTAAGAATGGTAAATGGATGGTAAAACATCAATACAGGACATTGATAATAGTTTAACAAACTTTATTCATTACGTGCCTAATCTTCAGGAATAGAATGCTGAAACATCTCTAAGCTAACAAACCGAGTATTATATGTTATTTTCTTACTGTTTCTCAAATACACTGAGAGTAAGTTGGTTTAATTAAATTTTGAATGAAACTTGATAACACTTTGTGACATGTGCAGAAGTGTATTTAAATAGTGTACTGGTAATTATAGGATCAATGATTATATTATAGCTGGGGCCTAATTTCAACAATTTGGTATTGAGTTTTTCAAGGAAACATGCTCCTTTTTTTCCTTTTTGAGCTTTTTAACTTTTATTCATGATCGTTTTTAAGAAATATTTAGTTTTTATTTTGTTTAAGTAATAACTTTTCATATTCATTTTCATTAATGAAAATATCGCTGTTCTCAACAGTTTTTTTTTTTTAAGTAGGTACTGACAATTTTATGAGAACTTGTGACTGTGCCCTTATACACAGGTTAAGTGTAAAGCATGTGGTTGTACCAACAACAAGCACATTAACAAGGGTTACATTTTTATCAAATGCCCAGATCTTTGTCAGATCCCAAGAAGCATCCAAAGAAATGGCTCCATGACCTAGGAATGAGACCATGAAGGCATTTCCATTGAGTAAAAATAGTTTATTGGTACAAAACCTTGACAATAACATGAAGAATGGGCAGTGCCAAGGCTTTTTAAGGATCACTCCATTCTACCTTGCTAAGAGAAAGTAGAACAATTAGAAAACAGGAGACAAAAAATGGTCTTTCGTATTATTTTTATTATAAAATTGTTTGAGATGCATGTATATGACTCCTTCACTCAATATGTCTACCTATGACTGTAACTTCATTTTATTCCAGTGGCCAGCTGTGAAACTAATCAACAATATCAACTTTACTTCCTCAATATTTTGTAAACATTATTTCTTGTTTATTAATTCAAATGCAGAGTAGTTGTTGAATAGGCTACGAACATTTTACATCATGAGCTAGAACATAGCCTAACATGGTGTTACCCATGTAGTATGTGACAGTAAATAATACAATATTATTACCACATTTTATGGTTATTATTTCATAATTATGTTCCTTAAGTAACTTGTGTAACTAAGCAAACATAAATCTCTTACATATAGTAAATGTCTACCTTTAAAGGCAGACAAAATGTTAAAATTAGGATTAGGTCCTTAAAAGATCTTGATCAAGAGGTTTTTTCTGAAGACTATGAGATGGCTGAGCTTTAAAATGCTATTTTTCTTTTTTACAAGAGGAAATATTATTAACATTTCTGACCCCGAGATTTTAGAATTGCCCTGAATTATGTAGGTATTATTATTCCCTTGGTATTAAGTAGAAAGATTTAAAAAATACAGATAGATAAAGAATCAGGCCCAGAAAAGGTTTCCATGTGGTTTTAAAGTAGTCAAAGATCAGATGTCTGTCTTGCGCTTTTGATAGCCCAATAGACAGAGGACAAGTGCCCGAGGATTCCAAAGATGCTAACTTTACTCCTGTTTTTAAAGAAGGTGTTAAGAGTAGTGCACAAATTTTAGAGAACCTGATAAAAGTATCTTTGCAAAATGATCTAGTAAAATATGATATAAAAGAAAGCCAGTATGTATTTACTAAAGGGAAATTTTGTGTTACTGATCTGTCATCTTATTTTAAGAATAATACTTGTTATCTGGATGTTGGAAAGGGTGTGGACTTTATGTAATTAAATTTTCAAAATGTTTTTGATAATGTGCCACACAAAAGATTAGCCAAGAATATCAGATCAATAGGAATTAGGAAAAATACTATTTAATTGTATTTTAGGGTCATTGGATGAGAGAGAAAGCCTTGTTATTAATGGAGTACCTAATGGATAAGTGCTTAGGCCTTTGCTTTTTCGTATTGACATTAATGATACAGAGAGCTGTATAACTAGTAAATTAGAAAGTTTACTGATGATGTTAAACTCTTGGGTGTTTCTAGCAGTATTTATGATGACAAAAATCCTATAACCCAATCACTTTCGAAAGGTCCACCTTTCAAAAGCACTCGGGTTATAGTGGTTTTTATCATCTTGTATCAAGACTTCTTGAACCTATGTGTTTTTCTGACATCATGAACCTAGCAGTATTTATATGTTGATTTACTACCTTATTAAATGATCCAAGTTACTCTTTGATTAAATATTTGACAAATGACCTTGAATTTTAGTAAGTGAAAGGATTATCATAAATTGAATCAAATGTTTAATATAGGTAGGAACCCACTCAATGACATGACTAAAGAAAAGTGTATTGGTATAGTGGTGTATAACTCACTCAAACCATTGAAGCATTGTTGCAAATATAAAAGCTAATAGAAAGTTATGGTGTATTTATAGACATTAATTACAAGTAAAAAGAGGTAGTTATCTCTATGCAGCTCACTAGTTAGGTCTTATTTAGAAAACTGTACAATTTTTATTTTTGTATCAAAGAAAGGATATTACTTATTGGAAAGAGTTAAAAAGATGGCTTACTAGGACAACTTCAGGGATGGAAGGGATATCATATAGGGATAGGTTAATATCTCTTAACTTATTTTGTCATTACAGGAGAGGGGTAAGAAATGGTCTTGTTGAAATTTTTTGTGCCACTTTCTGAATGAAAAATTTTAAGGTTTTCAGAATACAGGTTAGGCTCCAGTTAAGACAGCTTTAGATATCTAACTAGGTGAATGGCTTACAGAATGAGTTGTGAAGGTAGCAGTAATTGTTTCTAGAACTTAAGAGAGGAGTCATTGATTTCTTCAAAATGTGGGTTTAAATTTGAACTTTTCTCAAGGGTGGGTGTGCAACAACAGCCTTGAAGGACCAGATGGTCCCTTGTCCACATGTTATGTTCTCTTTGTTTTTATGTACTAACATTCAAAGTACACCAAATTTACAGGCTAGTATATGTAATGTTTTTGTCTCACTACTCGGTCTTGAAGAACCAAATGGCTCCTTATTGTCCATATTTTATTTTCTCTTTGTTTTATGAACCAGGATTTAAACATACACCAAATTTATATATGCATTATTTTTCTTATTAATCTCACTGCTTATTAAATGAGAATTTTTGGGAATATTGTAGATGAAAATAGTTTTTTTTGTTGTTGTTGCTGTATGAAAATTATTTTTAGAAATAGAATAGGTAGGGATTTTAGGATTGGACAATTCAGTGGTGCATGAAAGTAGTATGTGTAGCAGGTTTGATTGTGTATTGCTTCTTAGCATTATTTAAAATTGCTTTTGGTTTCTGATTTGTGTGAACTTCATTAGTTAAATATATATATCGAAACTCCAAGGTTTGGATAATTAGTGTACATGTTTAAACATTTATTTTGATTAGAAAATATTTCAATTATTAGGGCTAACTAATGACTTCAGTTTTCAGTCTGCTTCATTTTTAAATATTTTAAAGTTTAAAAGAAACAAATACTCATGCATAAATCTTGAAAATCACAAAATTTGACATGAATTGTTTGATTATTAATTGCTGTGTGTTTTCGTTGTTAATGTATAGTGTTTCCTAAACACACTATGAAAGTCACACCCCAAATTTAGAATTAAAAATAGTATTTACTATATTTTAATTTTTTAACTACACTCGTAATGTTACTTTTCAATAAGTATAACTTCAAGTCATTTCAGGAATACCATTAACAGATAAAAATGTTTAATGTTGCATCAGTTCCTTTATTTAATTTTGAAATCTGTAGTCATTAAGACTCCTTGAATTTCTTTACGGTGAACTGCTCAACTCTTTACTGTCAGATTTTTAATGCATGCTAATTTGAGATGTAAACTTTTTTCTTCTGTCATATTTAGGAAGATGAGCTTATTTAATTTTTTACTCTCAATATTCTTGGTGAGCATTAATGTTAGCATTGTTTAACAACTCTTGGCTTTTTCTTAGGTCATCGCTCATCCTTCCGAACCTGCATAGTTTCTTTCTTAAACTCCAACACCATGCACTGAACTAAGGTATACCTTTAATAACAAAAATATACTGCCACTTTGATTTTTCTTCCTTTAAACAAACAGTAAATGTCTTTTTCTTCCTATTTCATTAGGAGTGTTTCTGATTAAATTCTGTTCAATTTATACTTAACAGTAGGTATGCTTTGCATGTATTAACTAATTTCAAGTGCTTGTTTTTCTAAGTTTTTGAAATGTTCTCCTATTATTGTGTATTTCATTTATGCTTTTGTAGGCTTGCATCCTTATACTTCTGCACATGTAGCACAAAATTTAGAAAACTTGAAAATATTTATGATATAGCTTGATTTGAGCTTTGTTAATTGTGGTACTTCTCTTCATTTTGTATCCTGAAAGTTTTTAGCTCTCATTTACTGTTATCTGAATCATTTAGTTGATACGTAGGATGTGATAGATACAAATACTTCAAGTAATTACTTTAAAATCACTCATTCTTTATAGTGTAATATATATTTGAGTGCTAAAAACTTGTAGAATGATTGTTTCAACTGTATTTTAAGCAGTGTAGTCATAGTATAGTTTAGGTTTTAGTGGAATGGTCCTGCCTGTTTCTAATATAATACAACAGAGTGAAAAAGGTTTTGGTTGAAATATCTTCCCACCCTAGAAATGGGCATTAGCTGTCCATTGAAGCCAACTAATATATAATGATTGTGTGTAAGGTTTTTTTTTGTACATTCTTGATGAAAAGTTCAAATTTCAAGTCTCACAGTATATTCCAATTAGAAAAACTTGATAGCCATAAATGAAACAGTACTATATAGAGTTAGGCAAGTAGCAGAATTTGATAATTGATTGATCTATTATTCTCACAAGATGTCTAAAAGACAACCAAAAAATTATAAAGCTTTGGAAACTATAGGTAAAAGTAACATTTGCTAATACATTATTTATAACCAATAGAAAACATTTTGTTTTACTGAATTACATAATAAGATAGCTTTTTCTGACAACAACTTTTGAATTATCCAACCTACAGATTCAGAGTTGCTATTACCAAGTTCACCTTGAACAAGAAAGGGAAATATTTTAATACACCTATAGTTTTGTTGGAAAGATAGTTAAATTATTGTAGCTATAGGATGCTGCATTTTTTGGGTTTATTGTTATTTTTTTGTTCCTAGTTGAATATTTGAAATAAATAAAAATTCAGTTAAGTACTAACTAACAGTAACCCCTACCAAAAATTAGGGTTAACTTTTATAAAGACTTTGATGGCAAAAATGTACAAGACCAACTTATAAGTTGCTTGTTTTTCTTGTATATTTTTTATTTACTGTTACAAAAGTATCTAAAATGTGAAATGTGTTAAGTTATATAAAAAAATATTCCGATAAAATTTCTCAGGACAGGTATTATGTAATTCAATACTTTGTTTATCTAACTTTAGCTGTTTGCTCGATGGGTGTGTATAGCTTTGTTATGCATATTTAGTAGTTATACACAGTTTAAACAGCAATAAAACAATAAAAGTGAATAAAAACAGGTAAAATATTATAAGCCTGAGGCTGTTTATGTTAACATAAAGATTTTTAATTTTCTGCTACAATCTGCAGTCATTCTAGAAAGACAAAAAAGGTAATTTATATTTATTTTATATTTCTTTTTGTGGTTGTACAATATCTGTAAAATGGACCAATCCGATATAGTGTTAGGGTTGAGAAAGTTAACAGATAAAACATAGTTTTACCAAAAAATACATATGAAATTCAATTAGGAGGTTCTTAGAGGTTATGCAAGTAAAATTTGAGAAGTTTAAGATGAAAAGGTATTTTTAATCTTAACATGAAAATCACCTTGCACTCAGACTATGACTATAAATTCACAGACAAATCTTTAGTATTAATAGTTAATTGAAAAATCTGATTCTGTGTGTACAAACGATTTGTAATGTGAAGTAAAAGCTTGCCAAATTTCATGAAGACTTGCATATTAGTAAAAGTTATAGTACATATAGTTTCAATGGGAGTGAACAAGAAAAAAAGCATAATATCAATATTTCAATCACATGAACAGTGGAGTAATCTAAAATAGTAAAAATCAAAACGTGATTTTGATTATTTGATTATTTTCACGAGTTGTGACACTAACCAATAAAGCTCAACAAACTTCAATTAACCGAAAATAATAATTAATTAATTGAGTTAATAGTCCAGCTCTAGTATTATATCAACTTTAGCAATAAATTATGCAGTGATATATCAACTTGAAATAATCATGAGTAGTTGTTAAGACTGAGACATTAGTTTACAATTAAACTCTGACTTTTGAAAAGCTTGTGTTACAATCATTTCAATATTTGAAATGGAGATTTCTAAAGTTTCTAGTTTGAACTATTTCTTAGCTTTAAAAGAAACATTGCTGTACAAAACTGCTGAAAAAAAAAAGTTACTTGTATTATACCTGAAGTAAATCTTTGAAATGGGAAAAGAAAATTGAAAAGCAATTTAAGTCATTTTGTTTACTTGTAGAAGGTAAGCTGTAACTTTGTGTAGGGCTTTTCATATGCTGTAAATTCATTTTATGGTAAGATTTTTTCATTGTATGAAATAAAAAGTGCACTTCCATATTTGTGCAGCTTGGTTACCATCTTGATTTGTTTTTATACTGTAAAATCTGAAACTACTATACATTCTACTGATAATTTGTATAGATCCTATGCGATTTACGGATATATTTGGCCTACAAAAGCATCACATGCATTTCTAATCACAAGTTTTATAAATATTGAAGAAGGTTCGAAGTTGCAAATAAGTATTTGGTTACTTACTGGAACATGTACAAAGCTCAGCATTGTATAAAAGGTAGATCAACCAAGATTTGGTTGAGTATTACCAAATATATAGATATGTTTCAGAGCTACATGATATTCTAAAACACTTGTGATTGGATAATAATAATCAAAAGATCCCCATTTATATTATTGTATTTTAAAAAATAATAATGAATAATATGCTTATGTGTTGTTTTTTTTATCTTACATGAATTATAAATGAAATTTAAGTGTAGGGTATGTTAATAATTTCTTTTAATCAAATCAGTCATTAAAATTCCCTACACAAGAGCACCACATGACAAATAATACATTCTGGTTTTGAATATATGTAAGTTCTTGAAGAATTTTTTGTAGAATAAAAATGGGGCTTATGTATGTACCAGCATGATCATGGAAAGTAAAAAAGGGGTGGTGAAGAAAGCAACTCAAGTAATTTTAATAAGAAAAAATAACTACATACACATATATGAATGTGACCATGCAACATTTTGACTCTTTACTTGGGTCATCTTTAGATATAAAAAAATTATGAAAATTAGGCACAATAGAAAATATAAGATCAACGAATGTTCGAGTTGTATGGAGCAAGAACAACAGTAAAATTAATCAATAATATTACTGTCTATCTAGAAACAGTATTGGGTCTAATTTTTGTTATTTTCTTTGGCAAGATGGTGACCTAAGTAAAGTTGAAACACCACATGATCATATTTATTTATGGGTATATATTTATATGTAATAAGCATCTCGCAAGTGAGAAATAAGAATCTTAATTTTCCTACATTAATTAAATTTGAAAAGGGGATTCATTTAAATACTCTAATCAAGATAGAAATTACAATGTTAAATGTAAGGAAACAGATAAGGATGGATTGAAAATTAAATTTGAAGACACAAACTCTGAACTTATTTGTTCTCTCTACATTAATGCATGACTGTTTCTGTATTTTTATATGTAATGATTAAAAGAGAACTATATAAACTTAAAAAATACTCGTGATACATTCATGTAAGTACAAATTACATATACAGTTTAAGAGAGATAAATTGTAAAGAAAGCATTTTACTATTGTGGGATTATAATTAACATGAATAATAAATATTAATGAATGCAAGTTCTTATGCGTTGTTTTTCCCTTTCCTTGAAAAGAAGCTGGAACAAACAAAGAAAATGACATAAAGAAGTGGCTGTTAAGTAATGAAAGCAAAGAAACAGAGGATGCTGTGTTTGAGTTTCATTAATTGAGATAACAGACAACATAAGTGTGATGAAGGTGCGTTGGAGCTTGACTGGTTTGTGTTTACATAAGTAGAAGTGTGAAATTGATATTACCTTGTGTAAACTATAACATATAAGATTAACATTATATGTGAATTAAAAAGGGAGATTAGTTGGACGTGAGAAGATTTTCTTGATTTGACCATCCCTATTTTAAGATACGTTGAAAAATGTGTCTAGTAATTTGAAGGTTTAAATTCAGTCAGTTAATATTTCAAGCAAGTAATCTGATCGTGATGATTTCTGAAGTTGTGATTGTAGACAACCAAAAAACATTCCCCAAGTTGGAACCACAAAATGTTTTCTTTTTTTTGGTATAGAAGCATATTTTCTCTTCTTATTGCTTTGTTTTAAATACAATTTACTTTTTATAATTAGTCAATAATGAAGCAAATTTTTAATCATTCAAAATTAAAATTTTTTTTTGTTTTTAGTTTTCTAAATATGCCAAAAATTTCAGCTCACAATTATTAACAGTATTGGTATTTGGAACAAATGAATAGAATTTGTTTCAAACAATAAATAATTTTTTGTTGTATGCCTGATAAAATTCTTATTTTTTTAATTTATAATTATAGTTGTGAAATTATATTAAAACACACTAGAATAATATGTCTTGTTTGTTGAGGCATTTTCTGAAAATCATATAAACTATTTAGATCACCCAGTAATTTCAGTTATGTTTTGTATTAAGTTAAATGAATAATTTATTACTGCACAACACAACCTTATACTGCATTTTCTTAATGACTTCTGAGATTTTTTTATTTTAGCAGGTGATAAAAAGGAGAGCTGTTTTAAAAGAAATTGAATGTTATGTCACATTTGAATCATATAGTAAAATAAGAAGTTTATAACTCAAAAAATGTTTTGAAACATTCTGCACCATTACTTATGAAACTCTTGAGAAATCGTTTTTTTCTTATTTGTAAATTTTAAATTCATACTGACCAACTTCCTAATTCATAAACTTGTGTATTTTCAGTCTTGCAAAATTTGATATTTTCAGAATGGAATGTGAAAATAAAAATAGGAGATATTTATTGATAATCTTACTAACATTATTTGAAGTGCAACTATTTGAAGAAAAGATCAACTTTAAGCTAGGAATGTGTGTTAAATTTTCATTGTAGCAACTTTCAATGGAATATGTCTGTTCCACTTTACTGTTTCCTGAGATACGAAATCTTGAACCAAATAACTTTTTTGAAAATTTGTCCTTACTGCATTTTCTTATACATAGATTACAATTACGTCACACAAATACATCAGTTAACCTTAAGAGTAAGACTTGGAATTAGATTATATTAAACTCATTTTTATAATGTTACTTGTCTCCCATAGGTTATGTTCCTTTAATTATAATATGTAATAAATTTATATATATGTAAGAAGTGTAATTTGAAGATAGTTCTTCTGGAGAAAAAAATCTGTACAAATAAGTTTTTTTCATTGACATAGTCTATTAGAAAAATTACATAAAAAAAGCATTAAAATCTTATGTATATCTTTTTTTTATTGTAGTATTCTATATACCTAACTCAAATATTAAGAGCATTGTTGTGCTGTCTATTTGTTGTTTAAAAATTCTTTAAATATTTGTTTAATAGACTTGAATTAAATTATGTGAAAGTTTTGAGATTATCTGGGTACCACTTAATTAGATTTGGTGAATGTTAATCAAAGGTATGTGTTATAACAAAAGTGGTTCAAATGCTACTACTTAAAATGTTTGTAAAAATTGATGGTCTCTTTAGAATAAAGTGATAACATGATGTAATTAAATCCCAGCAGGAAAATATATTGTTTCATATTTTTTGTGCATTGAAAGGTCTGCTTTCTTTGAAGTAGGGGTTCATGCTTCCACAGGATTAATGTTTTAAATTTTAGATGTGATTTGTGTTCATTTCTCTCTCTTTCAATCTGCAGTGCCTCGTGTATGAATAACTCACTTAAATTATTTAGCCCTTTTTGAAATGCTAGTAAAGCTCTGAATAAGATTTATACTGGGAACAATTTTCAAATGACATAATGTAAATGAAAAATTTGATAACATAACTTTTAACAACCTTATAGACATGTCAGTAACTTGTTGTGGTAGTTTTTTTTTTTTCTATTTGATATATTAAGTTAATTTCAAGTTGAATCCTTGCTATGCCTTTGCAAGGAACATAGAGTCAGTACTTTTGAACTCAGATTTCAAGTGGCATAAGCAAATGAGAATGATTACTTATTCCACCTGGACAGGATGCCAGTCCATTGCAAGTTAACTAACCCCCAGCTTACAGTTGGGTAGAGTAAAGTGTCCTGCTCAAGGACACAACAGCATGACGTGGGCCCCTTGAACTCGCAACCATTTAATGACGAGTCCAAAGCATGAAGCCACTGAACCTGCTGCTTCTGATATACTAATAAAACTCTTAAATGTTTGCAGTGTTGTTTTAACATTTCAAGATTTTCTACAACGTAAGAAATAATGTAGAGAACTTTCCAATTTATTAGATGAGGTTTTGTTTAAAAACTTTCTAACATTTTATAATATAAGCTTTCATTTTAATGGCATTGTCACTATTTCATAGTTCAAGAACTCCTTAATGTTTTGGTAACCACTGTTTCTATTCAAAGGTATTGTTCATATGTTTAAAAAGTATAATTCAGTGCCATAAAATTTGTAAGTCTATTAAAAATAAAATTCGTCATTGTTTTCTTGGGTTTGAAATTGTATTCAGAGTTACAACTGTTTTAGCTTATATTCTCTCAAACTTGGTTACAGAGTGAATTTATTTGAACTCAAAATAAATGGTTTTATTTTTAATAATTTCGTTAATTTTTCCATGGTTGGTTCCAGTAAATCTTCAGAAGATCTCATGTTGCAGCCAAATGTTTTTTCTGACTTCAAAACCTCACTATGTTTGCAGGTTGATTTTGACAGTGGTGATATCCAACATAGATATCTTGTGTACATAATTAGTTAATTATAAGCCTTTTTCTATGCCTTAGAAACTGTTAGATGAACAGGAATCTGTTTTTGTAAAATTTGCATATTTACGTGAATATTTAGGGTTTGGTTTGTGGAATTAGAAACTCAAGTCTTCCAGATATCTGAAGTATCGAAAGTTTGATTGTACATGTTATTTTTTAAAGTTCTCAAATAAATATATTGAGCACAAAAAGTTCTTCGCATAAGTTATTTTGGTACTGTGATCGTAAAAAATAACTATGAGAAGTAGTTTTAAACGTTTCAAGTTTAATAACATATTTTCAGGTTATGTTATTGCACAGACTTTTCATCTCTTTTGTAGCAGAGAAACAATCTGAGCTATTGGGTGGATGAGAAAATATATTTGAGATATGTTATTTTATCCACTCGGGTTTAGTTTACCAGACGCGAGTGCATGATGATATCTAGCAAATCTAGAACGTTGATAGTTGGCAAGCTGTTGACAATAGTTAGAACACCATTAATACTATTAGAAATGCTATGTTCATGAACACTGATGAAGATAGTTTCAACAGACATATACGAATACTGGCAAGGAGAGCTCCAATTCATACACATGCAATAATGGGCAATGTAAAGAAGGACAAAATGTATTTCCTGTTATATCTGTCCATTGGGAAATTTCTAGTGTGCTGACATTGTTTACCTTTATTTTGTGTTGGTGATGTTTTTGTGTATGTATGTTTCCATAGATGGCAACATTGTGTAGTGAACAGTCTGACAGTGAAAGCACTCAACATTGCAAGTGTACTCTTAGTATGTTTCAAATTCATCCTAACCCAACTCCGTGCATTTGTATGCTACGCTTGTGCATACTTGTGTATGATGAACATTCGTGAAATTATCTTAGTGGAAATGTACGAGTTGATTTGAACACCTAATTCTGAGAGCATGAGTTGTGAAGAGAAAATAACGTTGACACAAAACACCAGTTTATCTTGTTTCCATTTAAATGTGAATCAAAACTTTACTATTTGTAATATCTTTGTATCATGTGTTGCACGAAGTCTTCTCTGGTAAACCGACTTTAATAATTATGGTGTACAGTAGTGAAAATAAGCCAAGTTTTGTTGAACTATTTTTTATTTTAATTTAGTGAATGTTTGGAAATTTAGAAATATTTCCTTCATGCTGTGTTACGACAAGGTTTATCTCAGTTTAGTGCCATGTCTTTCCATTCCAGTTGTGATATTTTCAGGTAACAAAAAATGCTGATTTCCCTAAAATTATCAAATAGATGGATCTACAAGTAATAACAAATACGTTCAGGAAATAAGGAGAGTGATTCTGATCAGATAACCGAGTCTTCTTAGTGTGTGTGTAAAATCATGAGAGTGGACAAAGTTGAAAAATAGCAACAATCTTTATTGTAAAAGAAAATGGTGGCATACGTACTTGAACGCACAGTCTTGTGCTTAGTCTCGCATCATTCTTTCATCAAGACTTCACCGTCGAACTAAACACGATGACCTTAAAAGTAAGTATTTACTCTAGCAAATGCATCCGGGATTCAACAGCTAAACTCGCTTTCTTTGACGGGTCAACAGCGTCACCTCATGAACTTTGTTTTCTGAAAGTATTGGTCAGTGCTAGATTCAGTCAACTTCATAATCGGTCAGCAAAGGACATTACAGTGCCAATCCCTTTTACCCCGCTGCAGTAGTTTATTACAATAGTCTCTCGGACAGAAGAGACATCACCTATTATAGAGAACAAATAAACAACTAGTGCAGGGTAATCTTAACGGCTTTCTAGAGCACGTGATGTCGCCATTAAAGGTCGAAAATTAAACAACCGAAACATTTTTAAAATCTCTATATCACTAAGGCAGGTAGGAAACGTGATATGTACACATATCACACGGTCATACTTGTACAAGTGCAAAAGTAAAACAGTCAACTTGAGCATTGATCAATGCCACGCCTCTACCCTCAGGCTAAATGAGAAGTTGACAACGTTTGCAGTTGTCAGCAAGTAGTCCATCCTGTAAGATTTCTGCTGCAGCAATGCAACTACAGACTGCTAGCTATAGGATTAAAATATTTCTCTTGTGCTACGATAGTTATGTGGAGTGTTGTTTTCATGATACCTGAGAACCAGGTGATATGCCTGCAAGGAGAAAATTACTCAATCACTCTGTCAATGTACATTTAATTGGTTAGGTTGATAAAAAAAAGGCTTAGAAGTCCACCAAGATTGCTGCAACAGAATGTACTTACTTTTATATAGTAAGTGTTAAATGTTTACATTAGCTATGCATTGATAGTGTGGAAACTTCAATGTATGGTTGGAATGTGAATTTCATCAGTCACCATCCTACACTAGAACCGGATAGGTGAACTAGTTTGACAACATTGCTATCTTTGTTTTTGATTATCGATCATTATTGCTCTTACTGGTAAACATTTTATTCAACTTTTCACCTAGTGAAATTTTTAGTTTGTATTCCTTTTCTTTCTGTGGTGTGTCATAAAAAACATCCTTGACATCAGCATAAAACTACCAGTTGGACTGCAAGATCTCACGTGCATGTCATTCATGATTAAGTATGTAGAATTTGAGAGTCTTCCAGATCCAGCTCCCATGGAGGTGGACAGACCCTTGCCAGTCCACTTCTACATCTTAACTCACTCTCTGGCTTACCCAGACTTGTGTTGGCATTGGTCACATTGCCTGTTCCATTTTCTGGTGATTCAGTTCCAAAAGCAGAACCTAGCCAATAGTAGCCTAGGTTAAAGCAGGAACCCAATGAGCCACCAAAGAACTGTCATTACACAGACTGCCTTTCAGAGGGTTATCGGGAATGATGACGACATAGTAATGAGATCTGGATCCATCTAAAATGGGATCCCTGCTTAAAGAAACCAAAAGTCATCTGTATTGAGTTCTAGGACCATGGATAAACTATCGAGTGGCAGTATAAAGACTACAACCTACCAAAAAAGATCAAATCAGTATAAAAACTTAAAGGTGAAAAGAAAAAGAGATCCATAATATCCTAATGTGATAAAGTTTGCTGCAACAACATTGACTTGCTGCATAATTATCCCTGGCTGTTAGAGTAGGAACTCGGGACTTACCATTAGAGCCCTCAACCTCCGTACTGAAAGAATGCTATGCCCTGGCAGTTATATATTGCACTATCCATGCTAGTCCAAAACGTTCACAGGGATGGGTGTCTCGTAGTTCACTCTCTGTAAGGGAGATTGCCATAGCGAGAAAGAACAAGGCAACGCCATGACATGTGAAGAACTCCATTAAACACAGGTAGCACTTTCCAAGCTGCTTGGAATATCCAAATCATTTGGTTTCCAAAATCAAAAGTCTACTGCCACCATCGATGATCTGCTGACCAACTTTCACTAATACTAATAATAATGTAAATATTTGTATATTGTATATTTATTTTTTTTGTTGTGTGTAATTTTTTTTTGTTTAACTTTTGATATGCTTTGGATGTTTAAACTTAGTTCCTCCCATTTTTCGTATTTGAACATGTTTTGTAAATATGGATATATTCAATAATTTATTATTTATGTATTTCAATAATTTTGTTGATTTGCAGAGTTTGATTCGCTAAAACTACACATTTTAGTGAGGAGAAGAAAAAATCACAACTTCATAAGATGTTGCGTTTTAAAACACTTTATTTTATGTGTCATTTTAATTTTATGCTTATGATTTACACCAAAAGTTTTAATGATTAATATATATATATATATATATATGTAGTAGTGTGCAAAAGTATTAGGACAAAGTCAAAAATTAGATTTCAAGCTACTTTCAAAGAATAATGAAAGGTAAATTACAGATGAAACATCACAATTTTATTGATCTTCATATTTAGTACAATAGAAACTCAGTGGAAGTGCTTGAGTTCAGCAAACAGTTAATATCTTGAGTATCCCCCTTTTGCATTAATAACTGCAGACAGTCTTTCAGATATTGTTGCAAGATATTTAATCAAAGTATCCTTTGGGATTTTACTCCAAATGTCTCTAATACACTCCCATAAAGTTTCTTTGGAAGTAAATTTTTATTTGCCAAGTTTTTGATCTATCAAATCTCAGATCTGCTCAATTAGGTTGACATCGGTGCTCTGTGTGGGCCATTGCATCATTTTAATGACTCCAGCAGCTTCTTTCTTAGCCAAGTAATTTCTGCATAGGTTGGATGAGTGTTTGAGGTTATTATTTTCTTGGTAGTAGAACACTTTACCAATAATACGCAAACCACTGGGTACACCATGACGAATCAGTATCTGATGTTACTTATGCTGGTCCATTATTCCTTCTATTTTGCAAATATCTCCTGTCGCCTCAGCAGAAAAATACCCCCAAAGCACCACACTGCCTCCCCCATGCTTCATGGTAGGTGCTATGCATTGAGGTAAGTATATTTCACCTTTCTTCCGTCGGACGTACAACCTACACTTTGAACCAAATATTTCAAACTTGGACTCATCTGTCGATGACACCCCCTTTTCCAATCATCAACAGCCCAGTTTTTGTACTTTTTAGCAAATTTCAGTCTCTTGACAATATTTGGAGATCGAAGTAAAAGTTGTTTTAACTGCTACACGACCAAATATTCCATTCTGGCTGAGTCGTCTTGATACTGTAGATCTGGACACTTTTCTGTCATTTGGTACATGGTCGTTTATCTCATGCTTGAGATCAGTGGTAGTCTTCCTTCTGTCCTGAAGACTGCATAAACGA